TTATTGCTTTTAAAGATATTGATTTTAATGTATTTGACTTTTACACATTTTGTGAATAAAATTGGAAAAAAAAAAATAAGTAGATCTATATACTGTAGTTCTTTTATTATAAAAAAAAAAAATTTATCTAGTTGTATAATTAATTAATTACTACGAATAAATATTTTATTATTTTTATATGTCACATTATACGTTTTTTATTGCGTATAAAGTTGAAAAAAAATTTTTTAATCCATCACGATAAATTTTAATTGGACGGAAAATCATTAAATTTTCAGTGAAATGTCCATTCGGTGAACTGGACATTCGGTAAAGTGGACCTTCGGTGAACTGGACATTCGGTAATGTGGACCTTTGGTGAACGGGTCATTCGGTAAGATGGACTTTTGGTGAATGGGTCATTCTGTAAGGTGGACCTTCGGGCAAACGTCCATTCGGCTAATTGGACTCGGCCAAATGGGTTGGGTTTCGGTCAATTGGGTTTCAGTCAAAAGTCCGGATATGGCCTCAGAGATCTCACTTGTTGCAACTATATCTCAAATTGAAACTCGTCATCAAATAGTCACTCAATATTTTGCACGATGGAAGTCGTTTCTGGATTAGCTAGACTATAAATCTCAGGTACTAACCACAATAACAATACTCTTAAGAAGTTATTTTTATTTAATTTTTGAACCTTTAAAATGCATAAACACATGATTAATAAAATAAATTATAAACCTTTACTTTTTTTTACAAAAATGTTTCTACTTTATACTTTTATAAATGTAACGATAGATGATTTTACTTTTTTTTAAAAAAAAGTTTCTTCTTTATACTTTTATAAACGTAACGTTAGATGACTTTACTTTTTAAAAAAATATATGCATAGTACTTCAAACCATAGTTTTTGGTGAATATTTCCTAAACCTTTTTCTTGGTATTCCAATTTTGTTGCGTAGTCCAAATAACACAAGTTCCTAATATACAAATCAACGCCATCAAAGTAAGGTGATTTTTACCTTCTTAACGTCATCCAAGTTTATTTGTTCATACTTTGCAATACTAATTCCAAATGAATTTTTTTGTTTCTTCACATTATTAGGTTGTAATTCATCCTTCGTGGATCTTCGCTCCTCCTTTGTAATTTACCCTTAGTGGATTTCATCATCTCCTTTGAGGACTACTATGACTTTTTTTCTTTTGAAAAGGTTATCAATACTTACTTTGAATATCAGAAATATATAGGTAACCTTTTATTTTTTTGATAGATGAAAAGAAAGAAAATTATCTGTTATAACTATTGTGATAGTGCTGAATTAACGGCATGTGCGATGGCAATTTCTAAGAATGGAATAATGGTTAGAGACTTGAATAAATCGCTATTTGTTTACGTTATAAAACCATTAAAGAATTGTAAGATATTGAACTTGCTGTTAAATTACTAAAATATATTTTTAAAATGTACTGATTGTTCAAATCGATTTACAATTCAAGCACGTTTTTCATAAAGGATTGATTTGATGGGTGGACCCATGGTACGGATTCAATAAGAAGAGAGAATAAACAATATCATCAAATTAAATGTTAGTTTTTTTTTGCCAGACCAGATAATGGTTATTCTTTCTGTTCTTTTCTAATATTTTAGTTATTGATTTCAGGAACAATTATTCAAAATTATTCATTATGTTTCCGCTTCACGAGAAGCAACTCCGATAACAAATCCCTTAATCAAGGTAAACAAAATAATACCCTGATTCAAAACAAAGACTTTCAAGTTAATTCTGTTGATGTATCTGGAATTGCAGCACGAGAAGGCATCAACTTTACTACAATATCTACTGATTACGAAAATGGAGAAATGCACATTACTAAGCCTTTATCAATACATGTTTAATTAAGTTTCTTCGATGAAGTTATTATTCTGACATGCTTCAAAATAACAATATATGAGGTATGAGGTACCTCTTTTATCAAATTTTGATTTTTGATAAAATTTATTTCAGAGAAACGTAAGTTACAAAAATATCAACAATTATATCACTTGTTAAATATGAAATATTTGGGCGCATAGATTATCCGAATCTAGTTGATAAGTATAGAGCGTTAAAAAATCTCTCTTAATTTCCATCAAAAAAAATGGACGATCTTTAATAGTGTGCTCTCTCCAACTCCAGCATCCATTCCAAAAATATCCACTCTGTCTATGAAAAGCGGAATCAAGCGAGTTCGCGTTCATGATATCCAATAAAAATTATTCATAACATAATTCGATTCCCCAGCGTGCTTCATGTAGTAATTATTTGGATTTACCTAAAATTTCTTTGTGCCTGAAAGATGGTTTTGTTGTCTGTATTTCGACGAACCTTTTACAAATGATGATTGAAATTGTTAGGTTGGTGTGAAAAAAATTTGGAATAAAAAAAATTCAAAAGAAATTTAATTGTGAGTGTAGATATGTAGAATTATATTGGTTTACCAAATGTAAAAATGTTACTATGTTAATGGTTATACTACTATCAAAGCTCCAAGAATCGAATTTGGAAATGACCTTTGGAGAGAACTACGCCACAATCACCATAATCTCTATATTGTAATGCGCATTTATTCAGTTCCGGTTCGAAGACTTCAATAACTTTACGAATAAAAATACACAAAAGTACTGTCTCATTCTCACACAACTGATCGGTTCTTAAAAAAATCTTTTTAATATTCCAACTTTATTTTCTCTGAATAATATAAGAAGTCTTTTTTAACCCAAAGAAATTTTTTTTATAAAATTAATTAAATCAAAGAAAGAAATAGCGTTATTCAAGAAACTTAAAAAAATATTTTCGTATACGAACTTTATCTCAACTAAACTAATTCCGATTTTTTATCACCTCACGTCAATAGTAAAGTTTGCTCAATATATATATATATATACATAATAATATATTATAGGATTATTCTACAAATGACATTTCAATTATTCATGAGAAATTCTTGATTAAATTTTTTAAAAAAAAATTTACTACAGTTTATTCATGTGTTTTAAATAATTTATAATTATAAAATCTCGAATTTCCTAACAACCCCCAGCTTGATATATTTTTCAACAACATTCATGATTTCTAAATTATTCGCACTACGTCCCATGATCGTTAAAGAGAGAGATTTTCGTTGCGTACGATGTTCCCAATTCATAAAAAAATCCTCCAGATCTTTAAAAGTCAATAAATTATTTTTTTGCAATAACCTTAATTTATAAAAATTTTTCGGGGCATACTTTGCCAAAACCTCCAAGCTTTCTTTTTCATCATGATAAAACACTTGAATGCTTTCTAATTGCTTGCAACTATTCAAAATAAGTTTTAATTCTTTTGTATCATCAAACTTTGCAGTATGTAGTGATGAAAGGTTTGGACAAAATTTTGCTATGGATAAATTTATAGAGTCATCATCAGTACAAAGTTCCCTTAAACTCTTCCCATTATTTTCTAGAAATCTGTCCAAATATTCATGCTTATGACATTGATATAGTCTCAAGATTTTCAATTGTTGAAAGGTAACAGAATGTAAATTTTCCATATTCATAATTCCATGAATTTCTAATTTGATTAAAGTGTTTGAATGTTTTGTTAACGGAGTTATGAAAGAATACGAACCATAAATAAAATGAATGCTTATTAATGATAAATGTTTCAATTTATTTTGTGAAGAGATTAAATCTATCGATCCTTTCGAAACGTAATTTTGAAATTGTATTGAAAGTGATGTTATATTCCGACAATTTTGAGATAACAAATTAAAAATTTCATAATCAACGTTCGAATAAATTTTCAAAACCGAAAGATTTTTCAAACAATCAATCACTCCAGGAAGATGTGCTAAATTAACTCTGATATTGGCATGGACTTTATATTCCAAAATTTTCAAGGAAGACATTCTCATAATCATTTTTAATATTTCTTGCATGATTAAAATTTTTTGTGTGAATTTAAGATTAAATTTAAGACTATATATAACTATATAATTAATTGCACGAATTGATAAGACTTTACAAAATGATATGTAATTAAATAATGGAGGGTTTAATGTTGGAGTCTCGAGAAAAATTCCATTCTCATGTAACAAGGTCCTTGACTCATTAGGAAGACAAGCAACCAAAGTTTTAATAATTTGGCGTGATCGTTGATTTGTAGAATGGGACACATAATCCCAAAATTCCCAAATATTTCTCCACAAAATTCTAACGGAAACTTCACACCAAAGACGGTTGACTAGTAAGCAAGAGTTTAAAGTTTCTTTGTCATTCTCTAAATATTCAAAGATATCGTTAAGGCAATCGGCGGAAAGTTGAGTCATTTTGTTTAATAACAATAACAATAATAATAATGTTGGAGAAAGAAAGATTTAGTTTGATCAAAAAAAAATTTTTTTGTTGCTTTAATAAATGTTCAAACGGAAATTTATTTAACCAGACCACGTTGTAAAATTCACGTGATTTGAAGTGACGTTCAAAAAGCCAATTAAATTCATGAAACCCATAAATGAGTATAGGGAAAACCGGTACGGTTCGGCTGATCAGTTCGGTCACGATCATGCAGATCGGTACGATCCTCCAAATTTTGATCGTACCGTACTGGTTCTATATTATTGAGACCAGATCAAAATTTGGAAAAGTATCGTACCGTACCGTACTGGTCCTATAATAGAAAGCATTTATTATATATAGGACCAGTACGGTACGGTACGATACAACCGACCGTACCGGTTTTCTATATACCCCGATTTCTATATATACCCTATGTTAATGATCTCAATGATATTAATAATGATTGATGTTGTTGATGCATTCTTCAAAACATTCTTAATAAAAAAAAAAAAAAATATTACCTTAATAAAATTAAATAAATCGAGGGAGGAAAATTACCGTACTGATCAGCCGAACCGTACCGGTTTTCCTCCTCCCATAAATTACTAAAATACAAAAGTCATTAATCCTGATTCCACCACTAAACATTATATCTTTCAGATTTTAATATAAAGTGCAAGCCATTTACGTGAAAGATATGCATGACAACTTTCTTTAATCAGTCAGTTTTAAAGTATTCATATTTTTAGACATTTGTTTTTAAATCATATTAATTATCTTGAAAGTCTTCATTAGGTAAAGTTGTTGTATATTTAAAAATATAGTCTGTCATTTTTGATATTTTAATTTAAATTAAAGATTTGTCGATGAAGGAATAATATCTGTTCACGATGAATTAACATTTACATGAGATATTTGAGTTGATACACAGAGTTTAACCGAATTTCGATTTATGTATGTAATTTTTGGTAAAATTAAAAAGAATGTCCCGAAAATCCTTTTTTTTAGGAAAATCATTTCGCTTAAAATCAAAAATTTGCAAACAATGATAATTTGACCTGTTAAATACCCCATACATTTTCTTTTGGTTTGTAATCAATGAAAATTTTTTTAGGAATCCATTTTTATGGTAATAATTGTTGTTGAGGTATAAACATATTATGTAACAAGAACTTTTCTCGTTCTGAACGTTCTTAATTGTACGAAAAACTTCTAAACAAAATAAAATCTTGATTTTTGATGGTGAAAAAGGAAAAAATATATCAAAAAATTTGTTTATGACAATGCAATAACTTTAGAAAAGAATTTTTATCAATTACGAATTTTTTTTACGAAATAGAAACTCATCGATCCGCCGCAGTAACCAATAATTTAATTTTTTTGGGGTTGAAATGTAGGGCGTGTGAATATTGTTCCATTGTGAAAAGGTTTATTTTTAACCAACATACCAAATTTGATTAACCTCAGAATTATATTAAAAAATTTTTTTTTTGTACATGGAAAATCTTTGATTTAACCATAACCGAAGTGGTACCAACCAAACAGTTACCTAGTGCTTATACTAGTCTAATTGTTGTTATTTACATAAATATTATTTTAAATTAGCGTTTTCCCTGATCATTGCAGTATCTGACATGATTTCAAAAACCTTTTATAAAATAAAAATATATAAATATTTATGATAACGATGAAAAAGATTTGTTTACGCCAAAACCCGCGAAAATTTTAAGGATCAAAAAATCAAAAATCTTTCAGTAACAAAAAAAAAAAGATGAAACTTTTTGCTTTATGACAGAGAATGAAAATAATGAAAATCCGTAAATCCTTAAAGAGAAAAGGTATTTCGTAGAGATTGTCAACATACATAAATAAAATGTCCGAACAATTTGCAACATTATATAACGAACTAAAAAGAAAAAAAATAAAATAAAACAATAATAAATAAATAACTTTGAAAAAATAGAATGAAAGTTGTTTTTGTACAATACATTATTCACATGAAATATATAATATAATAAACATCTAAGATCGTTAGATTTCATGGTTTATTATTTTATAATCTGGGGTGTACAATTTAATAATCCGGTTTATGGTAGATGCAGTATCAATGAGCATGAATCTTTAGCGCACAACCAGTAAAAACAAGTTGTGGAAAAAAGATAAATCCATGTGAGAAACACAAATGGTTGAAATTCCTCACGTGGTGGCACTTGAGAAACCATGGATTCCCTTAATTACACGATTAAAATCGGCGTTTTTACGGTTTGTGAGCTTTTTTCGGCAAATTAGGCAAAGTGCTTTTCAACCATTATTTGTAATTAGTTGAATTGTGAAACATTTTTTAATGTTATTCATTATAAAATATCGGAATTTTATTTCCATAAAATCAAATAACCTGCTGTATATCATTTGGGAATAAAAAAAATACCAGATATAAAGTTTCAAACAATTTTAGTTTACAATAAAAAAAAGCTTTCATTTGATAAGAAACGAGACACAAGAGAAGAACAATATTTTACGAAAACGAGAAAAAAAGGAACCCACCAATGGTTCATCAACTTTTATCTTCCACCCCTCCAACTTTATCCCCCGTTTCTTCACATTGGAATGCCGGTTTTGATAATAGGAGATTATGTTATCGTTTTCCGCGTACTAGCGACATTGCAATATATATGTCTGGAGGACTGGTAAGCGACGTTAGATTTTTTTAAAAAAAAAAATTTGTAATGTTCCATTCGCTTATCTTTTTTTTGAAACATTTACAAGTTTGCTATAGGGTGGTGGGCTTTTATTGACGCTATAGTTTATAGCAATCACAACCAAAGTTCATCCTTTAAAGTTTCGGTTGAAGAAGTCATGTGTGGTGTTGTAACGACCGTTGGAATGTTATTGTGAGAATTACTTACTCTTGGTAGTAAAATTTGTTCTTTTTAAATACAAAAAATTGGGTGCTAACAACAAACCTTTTTTTTCAGTGTAGCTCTAATAGATAAATCCATCCTTAGTGATGAATTTTATATTTCCACACGTAGGACGCTCTGGCAAGCGCGCCTACTTTTATTTTTAGGGTTTACACTTGTGGCCGGCGGCTTAATCGGTTCGATGGTAAGTATTCATTTATTTTTAGATTTAATTTTACTTGCTTTTTCTCAATTACGTTAATGAATTTTTCGTATTTAGACGATGTTCGTGATAAAATACATGAATCCTCATGAGACGTCTCGTGAATACAATGATATACAGTTTGGGATAGCTGTGGTATTTCAAAATGTCTGCATAATGATGAGGTAATTTCGTCACTTTCATTATCAATCTGATCAATCTATCAATCGCTAACCATTTTTTTTTACGCCGATACTTACAGCTCACTTATCCTTTTAATTGGTCAATGTTCGAGTGATAATAAATACGAAAACATCCTTTAATATGCATATTCATTTCACATTTACTATTATTATCAATATATATACCTTTATCATTCCTTTCTTTCTTTTTTTTTTACTTGTAAAATTTTTTGAAACTTTCAATTTATTAATATACACACAAATTTTGATGAATAGAGAAAAAAAAAAATTTAAATTTTTTTAGCAGCTTTGTTTTCTTGTATTAAAAATAACCCTCTTTTATATGAATGCCTTAATATAAACTTATAAAACTTTATTTGATATTTATTAAATAATCATGCAGAATGATAATAGAATAATAACGGTTTTTCCAAAATTGGATTCTCTTTTTCACATATAAATGTTTCCTGGCAATGTCATGACTAGATATTGGTCAAAATTGGTGTAAACATAGCAGATCATTGGTTCGAAAAAGTTCTAATTGATGTATGAAATTTACTCATGATTAACCAATCAGATATTTTATCACTTTTTGTTGTTTGTATTTGGGTAAAATTTTGACATGTCTTTTAAGCCTTTGAGAATTTTTCTGGAATACTAAAAAAAAAAAAAATAGTTTTTTTTTATTTTAATTTTTTTTTCTTTCCTTCCTTTTTTTAAAAAAAATAAAAAGAAAAAAAAAAAAAAAAAGTTTGACCACCTCATTTACTGTTGTCTTGCATTTTAAACGTAATTTCACGTTATTCGTAAACATTTAAAATTGCTCAAAAGTTCGCTCAATATCAATTTATTCGAATTTATCATCATCATCATCACCACCATCATCAGATGAGTCCCAGATTTAGCACACGAGGAAAAATGGATACACCAAAGCTCCCTTCAGATTGTATTGAAGAAATTTTAAAAAGTCTTGATAAAGATAATGATCGAACGTCGCTTTATTCTTGGACATTGGTGAATCGATCTTGGTGTAAGATAGCCATCTCATTGTTATGGGGTCACCCGTTCACCGACATGAAATTTGATGGAGATGATCACGAGACGGGACGCTTGCTTATTAGAACGTATATTTCTTGTCTTTCTGATGATAAGAGACAAATTTTAATCGATGAAGGTCATAATCTCAAGGTGACCAAGACATTATTCGATTATCCATCTTATTTAAAAGAACTTCATATTGGACATGTACAAGCTTCAATTGGTCATTGGTGGGAAAAATCAACCGATTATATGTTAAAGCAAAAGGCACAATTTCAAACTGTTGTATCCTTAATATTGGAAATGTTATTTAATAAATGTAATGGATTAAAAAAGTTGGATTGCGAATTACAACAATTTTATTATCGTAGCGCCGATTTCATTTCTTTTGCCGGGACTCAAAAGGCCATCTCGCGTCTAAATGAACTTCGAATCGATTGTTCAAGCGTGGATCAAGGTCACTTGTTTGAATTGTTGACCATGATCATCAAAGATTCACAATATATCAATCACATCGTTATCACCCCACTTCATGATAGCCCGTTGGCTCAACAGATTCCAAGGTTAATCGAATCTCAACATAATCTAACAAGTTTCAAAATGAATTCAACTTTGGTCGGTTCATTTGATCCTTCCAGATCCGCTTCAATATTTTCATCACTCACGAG